ACTTAAATGCTTTAAGCCTTGGTTTTCTCATCTGTAAAATGGGGGTAATGATAGTAATATCTCATAGGGTTGTCAGAATTAAATGTGATGACACATGTAAAACAGTTAACACAGTGTCTGCCATGCAGTGAGTGCTCAATAAAGGTACCACGTTTGCTGCTGTTCCTCTTGTGGCTTTTGATATCATTTACTTTATATTCCATTATAATTGCCACTTTAGGAAAGCTATTCCATTTTAGACAGCACTAAAATTACTAGAAAAATCTCTCTTTTGTTGAGCTTAAGATGGCCAGCAGTAGGCAATAAAAAAAGAGAGAGAGAGATTTTGGAAATGGTTGACCAGTTTGAGAATTATTGCAAGAGTCCAAGGATAATAAGGACCTAAGTGCTACTTAGGAATAGAGAAGAGACAAGTGCAAGAGGAATCATGCAGGGAAACATAACTGGACTTCAAACCTGACTGGACGTCAGGGGAGAAGGGCCCTGAAGTCAACCGGAATAGGAGCAGATTTGGAAAAGAAGGTGAGTAGATTTTAAGGTAGTTATGAAGTTCATGGAGGATTACGTCATTAGATTTAATCATAAGGTTTTATTATACTACTAGGTCAGACACCAGATTGCAAAGAGATCTGGGCATTAGGAGTGGTAAGAAAGTGGGAGAAAGTAGACTATTTTTAAGAAATTTTGTGTTAAAAGACAGTGACAGGTATAAGAGGCTAATATTAGTTTTATTTTGTTTTGTTAGAATAGAAAACATTTAAACAACTTTTAGACTCAGAGAAAGGTCCTTGAAGAATCAAGAGAAAGACTGGAGAGCGGATGGAATAAGGAAGTGGAATAAAATTATCAAGAAGCTTATTTTTTTAGAAGAAAGAAGAATCCTGGAATCAGAGAGGGACAAGGAGAGAGTGAAGGGGGGAGAGACTTGGAGAAGAAGGGAGCGAGAGCAGAGTTTACATGTGCAGTTACAGTCCCAGTAAGGCAAGAAGCAAGAACGTTGACTACAGGGGCATCGGGAAGTGTCCTTTGATGTGAAGAGAGCAAAAATGTGTGGAATAGATGATTTAGGAAATACAATAGTAGTTAATTACATAGAAATGAAAGCATTGCTGAAAAAAGTATAGAAAACCCCCAAAATGGCCAGTCACATGCACTCAGCCAGGCTTGGTTGCGAAAGGACTAAATTAATTTCGACGTTCTTTAATTTCTCCACTTGGTATAATTCACTGTCAGATACTTCACAAATTTTGTTTATGGGGTTTCTGCCCTGTGTTCTGCCTCTGTATTTTACTAGAATAGAATATCTGATATGTAGCTAGAATAGATTTTTAGAAACAGAAAGGATCTCAAAGACTGTCTAGTCCAGCCCTTCTTCTTTTTCAGTGGAGAAAATTGATGCAAGAGTAGCCAAAGAGACTCTTCCGAGGTCATGCTTCTAGCTTGCAGCTGACACACATCCAAGCCAAGCCACTACCTGCCTGCTCCACTACATTTGGAGGAGCTATGGATTTGTTAAAGCTGTGATTACAATGATTGTCTGTATTGAGATTGTTTGAGAGATCAGAGCACAGAACAATGCCAGTTGAACACTACCCTCAACGGTTTCTTACCACTTGATTAGGATATGTGGTGTTCTTGTTCTTAAAATCCAAATCGCTGGAGGCAGGCTTCCCAGGGGTCTGGCCTAAAGCCAGTCACAGGCTGTATTTTTAATGGACTTGCTGCCTTTCCATGCACTTGTGCCCAAATTGAATCATCCACAGAAAGAGGTGCAATCAGTGTTTGATCCTGGGTGTCCTCAGACGATAATGGGAGGTCTGTGACTATAAGTTATGGTAAATACACAATAAAAAAAATAAAAAGCCTTAAATAATGCTAAGAGGAATTCTAGTTCCTTTTACTCTTCTCTCATTCTGGGTCATTTTACCTGTCTTTTTCCTTCTCCTTCTGCCCAGCACTGCAGTAGAAAGACAGTCCAGTGCAATACAAGAGGTGTTAGCTTAGGAGTCAGAAACAGCCATTTGCCTGGCTCTGCCACTGGTTATCAGATACTCCTGGCCCCTTGTTTGCTTCTGTTATAATTCTTGCTCTGCTCATTTCAAAGTTTATTGTATAGATAAACTGAAATAAATTAAAAAAAAAATTAAGCCCTCTGCAAAAGTACAACGTGGACATTTATTATATTTTCCTTCGATTTGCATTGATTTTACTGGCATGGTGAATTTTGATAAGTGAAACTTTATGCAATGACACGTTCCAAAATATAATCGTAGAACTAATGGCTTAAATCAGTATTTTTTGGTGATTGAATCATTGGCCATTTAGAGCAACTAGATTCTAATCTTAGAATGACCTCATAAGCACCTAAGAGTCCATTCTATTCATTCCACAAATATTTATGGAGTACCTTCTGTGTGCTGGGTGGCACAGCACTGTTTATTATCGTAAGGCCTATATTTTGCTTTAAAATCAAGGAAAATTTCACTACTTTATAGCTTAGTCTTGTTTGCTGTCTCTTAAAACTTAGAACTTGCCTACATTACACAATTAGCGGTTAAGCCAATATTGACGAGGGTGAACCTGACTGAAGCAGAGAAGGGCTAGCTGCCTATACATTTCTTTCTCCTGACAAACTTGGTACAAGAGAGGGCATTTCAAATGCTTTGTGAGCAAAATAGAAAATTTTATAGGCTGGATTTTTTTTTAACATGTGGGTAAGTTTTTAGAACAGACCATTTCTGTCCCGTTTTATTCCTAGGAAGATGGTACAATCAAGCTTATTGGGGTCCTAGAACCTGGTCTTTGGTAGTTCTGTTAGCAATGGCTCCCCTGGATCATGAAAGCGATTCAGGAATCTATCCAAATCTATCCAAACTGGAGATGCATAGTTGCCGTAGCCCACCTGGTCTGATTTTAGCTTCTCCCTGTTCCTCTACAGTCCTGTAATAGCCAGGACAGGGAAACAACAACAACAAAAATTCCATGCAGCATACTTGTCAAGAATGTGTCTCATAAATCACTGTTGCTCTTTCGACTCACAGGACATGGAGGATTTGTGTTCTGTAACGTTTGCTCCCAGTAGCTGTTAGGGGTTTGGCCGAAACAGCCTCCTCACTCATTCTGTCTTTTGCTGCTTTGGGATGGGGGATTGGAACCTCAAGAGCAGCTTTTACTAGAAAGAAGCAAGCCAATGAATGATTTCAAGCATTTCAGTAGTTTGTGACTAGTGAGAAAGTGGGCCGAATGCACAAATACAGCCCTTCTCTCTGTACTTATTAATGTATTAACCCCACGCTGATTTCATGGGATTGTAACCTGTGCAGGTGTCCAGGGTCCCCCACCTAGAAGGGCCCATGCTTGGTTTAATGATCTGCTGTCACTGTCTTGAAATTCTTAATAATTTTTGAACAAGGGCTCCCACGTTTTCATTTTGCAACGAGCCCCACAAATAATGCAGCCGGTCCTGGCCTTTGTTTCCAGAGAGTCTGGGTAATTGTTTCTGTATCATCAAGAACTTGTGCCTGGCACATAGAGGCTGCCCAGTAAGCGTTTTTAGCCTGAGTAGGTGAGTGACTTTTTAAAGCTTTAAATAAAAAAATTGACCTGAGTCTGAGTCCATTTAATTTTGCTGGGGCGGGGAGTGGGAGAGAGGTACTAAATTTTTGAAAGAAAACTTAAAATATAAGAAAGAACCTAAAATAGTATAACAAACACATATGTTTCCACCACCACATAGGACAGCTATTATGTTATTCTATTTGCTTAAAATATTTAAGAATACAAAGCAGGTAAATTTTACCTGTTGGCCTCACCTCCAATCCCATTCATCTCCCAACCTGCTCACTGGAGCCAAAGCACTATCGTAAATGTTGTATCCTTCCAGAATGTTGTCTCTTTACAATGCCAGGAATAACACTTGGTAACATATTTTGCGTGTTTTAATATTTATGTAAATGATACAAAACGATATGCATCATTCTGCATTTTGCTATTTTCGTTCAGTACTTTGATTATAAAATCTGTCTCTATTGATACATGAAGTTCTAGTTCACCTGTTCTCATTACTGTATTCAGTAGTAATGACATCCCCTTTCCTGACCTGCTGCCCCCCTCAGCGAGGCTGTTTAGAGCAGACCCAGAGGAGTCTGGCTTTGTGTTCTCGTTCTGCCTCTGCCACCGGCAAACATCACTAGCTGGGACATTGGGCAAATTAAGTGATCTTTCTGAAGCTTAGTTTTCACATTTGTAAAATGGGATTAATAATTTCTGCCACTTAGATGTTTTGAGACAATTAAGTGAGATAACATATGTAAAACCCAGCATGTGATAAAGGTGCAAGAAAATAGTCGTGGGGATTATCATTACTTTGCCATATATTATCTGAATATTATGAAGCCCTAAGCAAATATGTAACAGCAATCTTGAATTTGGATTGTTCCATTTTTCTCTTTGTACCCTTAGCTTGGATATTGGTCGTTACTTTTTTTATACTGATAAGAAAATTTCACCCTTGAAGTGCAGTCCTGGATGCATCTAGAGTCTCAGGTGCCTCTTTTACAAAATTGAATGATACTACCTCTAGTGCACCTTCCGTGGGGCAAAGGGCTTAACCCCATTCAGTTTTGAAACTATGATATTAAGTATTTATAAAATTATGCCTATGTTCTGCTCTATGCATAACTGGAAAAAAATGAATATCTAGCGTTTTCCAACTTTGATTTTGCAAACTAACAAATAATAGAACTGAGAGCTCTGGGATTCTGTCAGATCATAACCATGCTGCTGCACGGTCCCCCGACTTGCAATTAGAAATTAAAAACTTGAGCACACATTGAGCTCTTTTTTTCACGTTCCCTGCAAACTTTGAAAAAATCTAAACAGAAGCCAATATTAAATATAGTCTTCAGAGTAGATGGGAGTCTGTGATATGTTAAGAAACTTGAAATAACATTCCGAATCTCCCTGTGATTTTAAAGCATTGTATTTCGGTTATTCAACAGATTTTATACAATTCGCTACAGAGAAAAGGATAAGGAAAAGAAATGGATTTTTCAGCTCTGTCCAGCCACAGAAACAATTGTGGAAAATCTAAAGCCCGACACGGTTTATGAATTCGGAGTGAAAGACAATGTAGAAGGTGGCATTTGGAGTAAGATTTTCAATCACAAGACTATTGTTGGAAGTAAGTACCTGGAACGGTTCGTTTCAGCCAGCTTTCTGTAATTTTTTTCTTTTTTCCCTAATTAACAAATTTTTAATTATTATATTAGTTGTGTGATGTGAGATGATTTAATTCCCATCCTCTAGCGTTTGAGAGAAGTCAAAACTGAACAGAAGTTATTGAGTATTGATATTGCAGAATCTTTTTTTATAATGAATGGTTTTTTTAAAAAAATAAGTGATAAACTAACATTTGATGCCTTCCCTGATAACAATTCATTGGCTATTGTAGTATTTTAATCAGTCCTGACCTATGAACACCAACTGAGCAAAAAACCCAATTACGTGTGTGACTGGTCGGAAGGGAAAGCCTGGCCAGTAGTATGTCATGGAAAGTCTTCAGGGCCCTGGGCTTCTCCCTGTTATCCCTCCATTCAGACTTCATTGGAATCAGCGTTTGAAATGACAGTAAATAAAACAACATGGCCAACTTAGAGAGAATAAGAGTTATCGTTGTCTTCATAATTATTAGTTAGAATTGACTTAGGAACGAGAAGAATGAAAATAATGTCATTTTCCCCTTGTTTTTGTCAGGTAAAAAAGTAAACGGGAAAATCCAAAGTACCTATGACCAGTCCCACTCAGTGGTATGTACCAGGCTATTTTCAGGAATGTTTTTAAAAAATTGTGTCTACATTGTATTTCTGTTTCAATAAGGAGATAGTCCTATTATGAGATACTGAAACTGGATTGACTGACTAGCTATGGGACGTTGGGTAAAGTAGTTAATGTTTTAGGAGTTAATTTCTTTTTCAGAAAATGGAGGTGGAAGTGTGAGACAGGTCATCTCCCATTTGTTTAAAGCTCTAAAGTTCACTGTAGTTACTCTAGTATTGCAATATTCCAAGTATTTTTGAGATTCTGCTTAATACCTTCTGTCCTCTGGATTGTTTTTACTGTAATGTTTCAAGGGCAAATTAGTACATGTTCTACTTGACGTTGCTATTGTTCAAATCTTTCCTCTATGTTCTATCACTTCCTACTTAAAAGAGCCAGTTCTTTGCAAAATGATGAAGCAGCTGGTTTGGTTTTTGAACGTGCCCAGACTCTTTCAGTTCAGGACATGTTTGTATATTTTGTGTATCAGGCATTTTCCCCCATTTTCACACCCTTTTCTTTCTCACTTCAGAAACTCAGCCCCTTGTTCTTTCCCTCCGCTTTTCAAAACCGTTCTCAGGAAGCATGTCAGTTATGTGCTACCTGCTCTAAGTGTCAGCCATTGTTATAACCCCACAGCGATGTTTGCATTTTAAATCACACGCCCGAGCATAAAGCGAAGGATGATGTGTCCCTGAGCAGGTAGAGGAGGCACTTTGGTGAGAAGAGGGGGATCCGCTGCTGGCTTTTGTCCCTCTGTGCTGGACATACCCAGCAGGGAACTCTCCTCCAGTCAGGTGAATGTGCAAAGACTCGGTTCGTGGTTGCAAATGTGCTCTATTCAACGTGTGCCTGATGTATGTGGATGCATATGTCTAATTTATGTCTACTGGTTCACAGAATAGCCCAGTGATCACGTAGCCCAGTCTGGAGTGGAAAATAAAGTACTACATAGCTCACTGGAATAAAAAATACAGGATTCTTTTCAAAAAATGGGTTTAGATAAAATAGAACTGACTGAGAATTAATCCTGATAAGGTGAATATTTCTGTGGTTTGAATTGGCAGAAAAGTGTGTACATCAGGAAATTATTGTCAAACCAAATCGATTATCAAATTGCTCAGGAAGTGTTTTCATATAATTCAAATCATAATATAAGAAAGGAGGTTGTAGTTAAATTCCTAGGCCTGGATTTTTTCTTTTTTAGGTTTTAGTTTTTTCCTAATTATCTAATGTTTAAAGATTTAGAATGTATAAAAATGAGAAAAGAAATATGAACAAAATTACTTATCGCCAAATAAAGACTAGTGTAAAATCATTTATGCTCTACTGTTAAAATTTCAGAACGTTTTATTTTTCTGTTTTCTAAGCATGTTTTCATTATAAAATTAAAATCATGCTATATATGCAATTTTATGTCTTACTGTTTTCACTCAGCCAAAATATGGCATAAGCATATTTCATGTCATTAAATGTTCCTCATAAATGTAATCTTAATTGCTGTAAATTACGTAACCTAAATACACTATTGTTTGCTCAGTTTCCAATTTGTAGGCATTTAAGTTATTTCTAATTGTTTTTTAATCCTAAGTGATGTTATAGTAAACATTTATGATCATAATCTTTGTTCACATTTCTAATTGTTTCCTTATAATACATACTTAGAACAGAAATTAACAGTTTAGATTTTTAACATTTTTAAAACTTCCTAATATGTATGGTCAAAGTTCTTTCCAGAAAGGTTGTATCAATTTACAATCTTGCCAGCCATATATCAGAGTTATCTTGCTGTAGTCCCCTGATTATCAACCTTATGTATTTTCATCATTAAATTTTTGACTAATGAAATAGTTTAAGGTGATTATTTTAATTTCTATTTCTCTGATTGCTGATAATGCAGTACTTTCTTCTCTAGTTTATTAGCCATTTGTATTTTCCATCTAATGACCTTTAGTTTCAGTTCTTTGTTTATTTGACGTCTCATGGTTTTTTTATTGAAGAGGTTAAAGACTTTATAGATTAAAGAACATTGAATTTTTGTCTGTGACATCATCTAGAAACATTATTCTCACATTTGTTATCCATTAATTCTGTTTATGGGAATTTTTGAAATATGCAAGTCTTGAAATTTGCTTAACCAGATTATTTGTCTTTTCCATTGTCATATCTTCAGTTGCATTATATTTTAGAAAGCCCTTCCCTATCCAGAGAGCAGCGAAATATTTCCCTATTTCTCTTTTTTAGTTGTATAAGTGGTTTGATTTTGTAATAATTGAACTCTAAACTATGTGGGTTTTATTTTGCTACGTTGTATGTAGTAAGGTTCTATATCGATTAGGTTATGTGTTTTTTCTGCATAGCTAACGAATTGGCCTAGTACCAGGTATTGAATTGTGCCATTCCCTAAGGTCTCTTTGGCTTTGTCTCTCTTAAGTCCAATCAATATTGTGTAGGAAAAGTAAATTGGCTATACCTCACAGGGAATAGTTGCTCTTTCATCCTCTTCTAGAACATCCTCCCTCTTTTTGTGAATGGTTTCCTAGGAAGCAAATCTTATCTCGCACCCTCTTGGCTGTTATGCTTTATCTTCATGTGACTCAGTGATGCTGTTTCTTTCATTCCTTCTTTTCACTGATCGTATCCCAATAATTTGTATTTATTTTGGCAAAATATTTCATTTAGGGTAAGTTACTCAGCAAGATTGGGAAAGATGATTGACATTTTACTCCCAAGGAATTTAATTTCTTTTTCACATCATAAATAGCCATGATGAGAAGGGCCAGGAATAAACTTCCTGCATCGATGACACAGAGCCAGGCCTTCTATCACTTCAAGCTGTGAGGCGGAGTACCCCCAACTCCAGCCGGCTCTGACGGGCTGTGGTTTGAAACACTTGGTTATTTCCAAAGGAAAACCGAAATTGATTGCAAAAATATTTTAAGGCTCCTCTGTGAGGTTTCCTTCATTGTTACCTTCTGGACAGCAGAAAACTGTTTCATGAGCTAACATCTGTGCTCTTGGGTAGCCTGGAACAGGGAGAAGTTGAAAAGGAACCACTTGGGACAGTCTCGACCATCTTACGAGGCCACTTAGAACTGATTCTGAAAATCGATTTGATTCTTTAGAGGCATATTTTAATGCAAATAAAGTCGATATCCGAATATTCACTTTTCTCTGAGACTGATCTTAGAAGGCAGTATTTCAAGAGATAGGAAATTAATTCCAGATGTTTTGCTTTTAGAATCTTAAGCAAATGACACACTGAAAAATGTTTTCATTCATAGATACATGCTTACACCTAAAACTTACATGCAGCAAAAACTCCTTGACATCTTCCAAAAAGAGATGTTTGAATTGAGAAATGCAATTTGAACTTTAGTCTACCATTTTTAAGAAATAAATCATATTTAGGTTAAAAATTTGAATGTTAAATGCAGCCCCATCTTAAGCATCTTGTTACATTATATATTGCAATTCATGTAGCTAAGCCTGTGTTCTGCTGGCAGCCCCAGGACACGTGTGCCAGGGACATGTAGCAGGGGTCTCTCCTGATTGGTGAGTGCCTTTGTTCTACCGGGTATTAAATACTTTCAGTATCAACCCTGCCTGTACCTCTAGAAAAAACATCAGAGAAATGGCATATGCATAATCAAAACTGTGATTCTTTCTATATAAGTTCTGTCACTTGAGATCCATGTAATTGAGGAAGAAAAAACACATTTATCATAATAATTGTCCTATTTTGTCCATTTTTAGAATCTAGGACACTTTCTATGAAGATGAAACCTAACATTTACTATTAAGTTTTATTATATAAAAAATATATGAATGTTGGCTAAAAGGATCTACTTTTTATACATTATATTTTTAAAACCTTATTTATCTAACTAGTTCATTAACTAAACAATCGATTTTTGAAGTATGTAGCATTTATTAACAGAAATTTTTAAATACAAATTTAATTACTTAATTAATCAAAACCTCCCCTAAAATATGACATCTATTTTCACCTTTCCATTTTTTCCATCAGAGATCCACCCATCTTTTTAAAAAGCCCACATCTATTACTGGCAAAAGAAAGAAGTGGTGCCAATTTTTAAGGCGTAACAGGTACCAGATAAGTGAAGTGAATAGGGAGAAATACAGTGCAGTCCCCAGCCACACATTACCATTGTGTACCATTGTGTGATGCATGAATGCATCAGCCCTCCTTCCCTTCTTAGCCATTGTTGTCCTGAGCAGAAACTTGAAAAATTTATATCTGGGCCAATGGTATCACCAAAGGCGTATGTCTGATTCCTCCCTGGCTGACGAGAAATTGGCAGACTTTCGCAAGCAGGACATCAGATTCATTTTTAGTCAGATGTTAGATTGAATCAGTATGTTTTGTAACTTTCATTAGAACATCCTAAAAGTGAATTAAAACCAGAATATAGCATGCCTAGGTTCTTTCCATGTGGCTTGGCTCTTGAGCCATTGAAATTTGATTCTGAGCAACCCTTAGCCACTGCCTAAATGGACAGCTCCTCTTGATCTCAGGGCCTGAAAATCTACAATAAATGTTCTGACACCACGAAAATGTCAAATGGACAAGCCTGTCAAGAATAACCTGCAAAGAATAGCATCCTGATGTTATTGCTACTTCTATTAAAGCTAGTTTTCAAAATAATATCAGGAGGAAGTTAGTATAATGCTGTCAGCTGAAAGTCCCTCATCCTGGGTGGCAACTACTGCTGTGGTTATTTCTAGATAACCAGAGGCTTTCCCTAACCAGGACTAAAAGCAAGCTAAATATGTCTTCAGGGGCATTACCATCTACCACTTAAGCATCCTCTCTCCATTGAATCTCACCTACTGGATACTCAGCCACAACATCCCAGAAAAATGGTAAAAATGAATTCCCTTAACCAGTCACCCTCCTCAGAATATAGTGCAACCTGGGTTCTTAAGGGACAAGATGTCTCAAAACTCAGAAAAAAATAAAATGATGCATATCTTATGGGGCAAGAGGGAAATATGCTTACTTCCTGGCCGACAGTAAACATTTAAAAAACAGTTGCTGAATGAAGGGAGGGATGAGAGCAGAGAAAGGAAGTGGTGATGGAGGTTTGCAGCAGGAATGGGGGTCAGCAAGCTGCCGAGAAAAGAGAGCCAGCAAGGCAATGGCCGAAGAAACAAAACTGGACCAGGTGGTGTCTGTAGACAGCAGTTGTGCTGGGGCCACACCCGCAGAGCTGCGCTGGCTCGTGGGACTTGACCGCCTCGCTCCCCACCCCGCTGCAGCGAGACTCCTGCTCACTCGGATAGACGGTCCCACAGCAAGCCTAGGACAGCAAGGAACGGCTAGTGGTACCTTTATAAAAAACATTGTACGTGAAACAGTTCAATTAAAATTGGGTTGTAACTGGTAAAATCCGTTAACTTGGAAATTATCACATTTCATTTCTCAGTGGATCCGAGTAACAGATGTTTTCCTACACTTTTAAAAGAAGACGTAGGGAAAGGATTCACAGTGTGGATTTCTTATTGGGAATTTGAGAGCCTTCAGCATAGAAACTTTGGGCAGAAGGACTTTCCTGATGCCCTTTAAAAACCTACCTACAGAGAGGCAGCTGCTTGCTCACTGGTTGCAGATTAGGCAAGAGAGTAATTATAGGTCAAGAAAGAATTAGATTCTGCGGCTACGTGATTTCCTTGTTTTTTGGCAGCACATATTGTGCATATAGTCTTGTCATCATCTTAATAGAACACTGGTCTGTACTCAAGAACTCGAAGAGAAACTATTCCATTCATGTGAAGAATGGAGTGTTTTCCATTTATCCTTGTCAAAAAATTGTTTAAAACCGGTCATCACAGCAAAGGAAATAAACATTGGGATAATGGAATTCAAAGGCAATCAACACAGCAACATGTAGACATTCCTGCTATAATGTGATGTGTCTCTGAAAGGCTTCACTTTCTGCAAAACGAGCACTAGACACAGGACTCAGGGCAAACAGAGGACAAACCGTTCAAAACTCTGGGACTGTGGCCACAGCTCTAACAAAAACGGTTATTAGTACCTGGAAAGATACTGTGGCTCCTCTGGAGCAGCAGGCATTTAAGATTCTCAGAAGTAATGGAGGCCATGTGCTTTAACCCTCTCGCTGGAGCAGGACAGGTGGGGTCTGGTGGACACAAGAGGCAGAGCGTGGACCTGACTCTCCCTCTCTGGGGAAGGATCCCATGTGTAAATGTTCATTGCTGAATCTTAGTCCCTTCGGGCTACTATAACAAAAACACCACAGACTGGGGGGCTTAAACAACCAACATGTATTTCTCACAGTTCTGGAGTCTGGGGGGTCCAAGATCAAGGCGCCGGCAGATTTGGTGTCTGTGAGATCCTGCTTCCTAGTTCACAGACAGCCATCTTCTCGCTGGGTCCTCACGTGGTGGAAGGGTAGAGGGAGCTTTCTGGGGTCTCTTTTATAATAGGACTAATGCCATTTATGAGGATTCCACCCTCATGACCTAATCACCTCCCAAAGACCCCACCTCCAAATTCCATCACATTGGGGATTGTTTCAACATATGAATTTTAGGGGGACACAAGTGTTCAGTCTATAGCACTGGGTCAATAGGTATAGATACTCCTTTTAAAAAATAACCTGATAATAGTAAACTTTTCTTTTTTGTGGTTTTTAACACAAGGACCTTAATATAAGAAGAAAAATAGACAACAGTAAGCTTGGTGTTGTGGCCCTTCTTTATTATGGGCATATCATTTACTGAAATGGTAGCACGTTTGTTAGCAAGTCTCTTGCTCACAACTGTAAACACCTGTGTGGGAAGTAGCTCATTCAGCACGTCCTGGATTATCAACAGATCTGGTACGTGGAGCAGCCATATCATGTGCACAGGTTAAATCAAGCATCAAAAAATTGATGTCGTGCTTGCCCCTTTAGCTCAATCTAATTCTTCTCTCTCTATTTGCTGCCCTCTCTTATCCTGTCCCCAAGTCTCTCCCACGGCTGCCTCAGCCTTGGCTCATGATTATGTCCGGTGATGACTCCACCTTAAAGTCAGCACTAAACCTGTACCCAGGTCAGGCCACTCTATGATGTCAAAGCTTCCTGGGGGACACCTGAGGCAATTTGGAAGGGCGGGAGGCACAGTCCCCTGGGAACTGCCCTTCCAATTCTAAGGTCCTTCATGAATAAATGTGTGCAGAATGGTTAAGAGTCTAGGCTTTGGAAGTAGAAATGTCTGGATCTGAGTCCTAGCCCTGCCTTCCTGGGTGGGGACATGCTTGGTGTTGTCTGCAGGGGCAGCAATTGGGAACACTCAAACAATTGATGGTGATTGGTTTTAAAAGATAATATGTAGCTTAACATCTTTTTGAGAGGGAATTTAAAGAGAGAATTTGGCTGGGTCATATCTCAAATGAAGTGAAAATAAACTCATATTCAATCCAGAGGATTTAGGTTCTTTTCATTGCATTTTCTAAGTGAACTAGACTAATGGGAGTTCTAAAGAAACTGCTTCTGTCGAACCTTTGGCCGTGAATGGGGGAAAACCAAGTAAGTCCAGTAAAATAGAGGCAGATATATGTACTAAAGATCCTTCCAGCAACTATTAAACCAGTGTTATGGGAGACTTCATTGAAGATATGAAAACAGTACTTCTAGTTCTTTGATTAAATTTTTTTTAAAGTTAACTCTAACTCAAAAGCTGCCTCTCTTCCTCTCTCTTCAGCCTGCGTATGTCCCAAGGAAGCTGATCCCAGTAACAATCATCAAGCAAGGTAATTTGTGTGGGGCTGCTCTGGATATGTCTTTCGAACTATTTTTAATACAATTGTTAGCTGAGATAATTAGACGTAGCACATATCTTCTCAATTTTTCTGATGATTGTTTTTCAGAAAAAGTTTGAAGAAATCAGTATGGTCTAGTAAATTAGAAGTTGATAAGTAATTTTGGCTGAGCCCAGGCATGCCCCATTGTTTGGACAATTAGGGACGAAGCAACTATGACAAGTATTAAGTTTTAAAAAGCCAATTCAATACTTGTGGCTTTGTTCCAGGTGACATACATAAAGAAGGTCGTTAATAGGATATTTGGACTAATGACATGAAAACTATGATTTAAGGGTCACTTTAGGGAAAGTAAAGACATCCAGATTTCAAGAATTGTAGTGTCTTATTTCATTTCAGTATCCAATTGTTTTTGTTTTGCCTTCTAGTTTTTCAAATTATTTAAAATGACTCCATTATTTCCTGAAAGTTTCTTGGTAGAAGAGATTGGGCACTTAAAATAGTTCTTCATTTTAAGAAAACACACTATGCCAAGTGAACTCTCAGAACAGCGTCAGCGGGTATTGGAATTACCCAAAGATGCTTTGTTTTGAGACTATACATTTTCTAGTTTTTTATGACTGGGTCATTGCCTCATTTTGTGCTGGTTCTTTAACCTGGGTAGGCTGCAGGGAGTGCCGATGAGGAAGGGAATTTTCAGCTCATTAGAATGGAGCACTTTATGAGAGAGTAACAGCATTTCCTTACTTAAAGGCATAGGTGCTAAGGTAAGATGTGCCTTCTAGTCCTTTCATTGGCTGTGTAGCCAGCCCAATGAATTCCTTTCTATTAATTAAAAAGTTAGATCAGGGCTTCCCCAGTGCAGATGGCTTCACATTATTAGCTTCTTACTGCTTCCTGACTATTTTTTTTCCATCACACTGTTATCTTTTTGTATCTCAACAGTGATTCAGAATGTTACTGACAGGGCTTCATCGAAATCCCCAGATAAGACGCCCTTTGGAGGAACAATACTAGGTGAGTCTATCTTGAAATCTACACTTAGATTAAGCAAGTCAGGCTATTTTTTGATAATAGGGCCCTGATGGAATTTTGCACTGTGAGCGAGTCTGTTAAATTGACTCATTTCCTTTCAGTATTTAGCATCCTGGTTTGTGTCCATTCTGGGCTAGGAGCCAAGAGATGCCACCTCCATCACCGTGTGTTAGAGAAACAGCTCTAGCCCATGCCTCGTGGGAGTGATGGCACCCAGCCTACCTGCCCCACAGGGTTGTTGCAGTTGTGAGGGAGTCTTTGTCATACTGCACTGCTCTTTTAAAAATTGTTATCAATAATGGTGTTCTTTGTTCACCACACATCTTAAGCAGCTAGTTTACAATTTTTGAGTCTATGGATTAAAAGCCAGAGGATTTTGGTAGTTTGGTTCTGAATATGAAAAAGATTCTGTTTAAAAGGTACTATCATATTTTTTTCCAACATTTTAAAGTTTGGGTTAAAATTGACTAAGCAAAATAAGCGCTAAACTTCATAGTTTCTAGTATCTGGTGCTCTGAGCTTCATGTCATGGTGCATTTTCTTCCTCTTATCTCATTTACTTCTATTTCTTTGCAGTCCACCTTGTTATTCCAGGTCTTAATGAAACCACCATAAAACTTCCTACATCCCTAATGTTTGAAATTTCAGAGGCAATGAAGACACAATTAGGTAAGCAGCAAAGTTCTGTATTTGAACTTTGTAGTGACTGAGTACTAGCACAGAGATTCTTAGGAAATCCAAGGAATCTAACAAACGAGCTGGTTGGGGATCTCAAAGTAGAAAGTAAGGGACAGGCACATGCACTCTTGGTGGGAATGTAAAATGGGGCAGCTGCTGTGAAACAGTATGACTATTCCTCAAAAAATTAAATTTAGAATTACCATGTGATCCAGCAATTCCACTTCTGGTATATAACCAAAAGAACCCAAAAAAGTTCTCAAAGAGACCCTTGTACGACCTATGTTTACGACAGCATTATTCACAGTAGCAAAACATGGAAGTAACCCAAGTGTCCATCAACAGAAGAATGAATAAGCAAAATGTGGTCTATCCATACAAAGGAATATTATTCAGTCTTAAAAGGAAGGAAATTCTGACACCTGCTACAACACGGATGGACCTTGAGGACATTATGCTCAGTGAAATAAGGCAGTCATGAAAAGACAAATGCTGTATGATACTGATTACGTGAGGCTCTAGAGTAGTCAAATTCCTAGAGACAGAGAGTAGAATGGTGGTTGCCAGGGGCTGGGAGGAGGAGGGGAATGAGGAGTTACTGCTGAATGGGGACAGAGTTTCAGTTTTACAAGATGAGGAGAGTTCTAGAGATAGATGGTGGTGATGGTTGTACAACATTATGAATGTATTTAATACTACTGAACTGTACACTTAAGAATGGTTAATATCATAAATTTTATGTCATGTATACTTTACCACAAAAAAATTTTGGGAAAAAAAAGTAAGAGGCAGAGAAGCTGGAATGTTGGAGGTATCCGTATAAATTGTATTCAATAGGGAAAGACTTCTTTTATATTTACGTAAAATATAAAATACATTTACATTTATGAAAGAAGAGGGAACATTTATCAAATTATCCAAAACATACACATTTATATAGGTATAATTTTCAAATAGAGTAATTGTTATATACTGTAACTATTATACTATACTGTCAAGGGGCCACTAGATATTTTCAGTGAGAACTGATGTAAAGGTCAGGTCTGTTAGAATAATTATTTACTTGAGACTGATACTGCTTCCTACTTCTAGAAAGAACCTGATAGTTTCAGCATTTAAAACCATAAAACATAACAATTTGGAAAAAACACCCAGCAAAACTCTTTGAAAGGGAATAATTGTGGCGGTCACTGGGCTAAGTTAGTTGCTGCACTTGAGTATCAAATTAGTCTGAATTTTCTCTACAGCAGAGGATCTCAAACTTGATGGAGCATCAGAAGCCGTGGAGGGCTTCTGAACACACAGTCTACTGCCAGTCACTGACTCAGGAGGCCTGGGTGGGGCCCGAGAATTTGCAGTTCTAATAGTTCCCAGGTGGTGATGCTGCTGGTCCAGGCACCCCACTTTGAGAACCACCCTTCTAAAGTCTCTGGAGAATGTCTTGGGTGATTGATAAATATGGAAGGAGACAGCGTGATGTGGTAGAAATTGAACAAGACTTGGAAATGCAGAATATTTTCCTTGAACTAGGCGCTAGCTAAGAACTTGAGCACTCACATAATTGAATCTTCACGTTGTATGGATATAGAAATGGAGGCCCAAGTCCCTCTTTGGCCACATTCATTCAGCAAATACTTATTAAGCCTTGGGACTGTAGTGGTGAGTTATACAAACACAGGACCTGCCCATACTGGGACCTCAGACTTAATTTCTCCTCCTTTGTTGGAAGCCTGACCTGTTTGCTTGTTTGATGCTAGGCAATCAGCTTGCAGCGGTTGTAAAAGGTGAACTCTTAAATTCTCCTTAGCTGTTGACTTCAGAGCTTCCTGGAAGAAGGAGGAGCAAAGCCTTAAGTGGGTGTAAGAGCACTTAATTGGTGGAGTCTTAGACTTATAAATTTAGAAGAATTTTCCAAACTTATGCATCACCATTTTATTAAGATGCGAAAATACTTGCCAATAAATCTTCATGATTTTGTGCAATCCTTACATTTTTACGGTAAAATATTCATACCTGTTAGTTCTAGAGTGAGTTAACTCCAAGCACGTAGACAAATGACTGTAGGTTTCATTTCCTTAATTTGTACATCGGGCTTGATCACTTCCCTTTTAGCTATAAAACCCTGAGACTCAACTCTATATCATCTAAATGCCTTGCTGAAAGCCAGGAAGCTTCCAGATGAACCTGTGTTTAGACTCAGAGCTCAAGAGTCTCGCACTGCCTGTTCCCTGCCTGGAGCCTGTATACCTGGCCCCAGCCTTGGGAAGACTTGTTTGGAAGGAGACAAAAAGGAGCCAGCCAATCTCTTACTGATTTGGTCCCTAATCTGTCCACCAAAACTACAAAACCGAGGATTTGTGAAAGAGACTGAAAATGAGAAGAGGTTTCCCCCAGACCACTGCTGTCCATTTTGAACTAGAAGGTGTTCTAGTCCTTAGTCTTGAGTGATATTCCTAATTTTTTGGTTTTTGCAAAATTCCACATGCTACCTTAATACCAGTCCAGCCTTTTTGTCTTTTTAATTTAGAGAATTAAACCACGTATTGTTTTGCTTTGCTTTGTTTTTGGTTTTCTTTTTCTGATATGATTCACAAAAGCTTCAGGATTGAGTGTGATTTTAATGAAAAAAATTCTATGCAAATAGTAAATGTCTTTTTTAATTTGTATTTCTGGAGCAACACTGATCTGAAATTTAACACATAGAAAATTTCTTACACATTGAGGAGATTGATAGCTGGTATGTTTGAAATGTCCAGTAAATCCAGCAAATGTACCATCTTAACAGACTGTGTTTAAAAGTTACATTTTAAATTTACTATTTTTTATGAAAAGAGTGTGAACATAAACAGTTCTTTATACTACCGAGGGAGAAATAAACTTTCCTGAAGTTGTTTATCACTGTAATTCAGAAAAGTCCTATTTTTTGAGGGGGTAAATCTTAAAAATAAGATTCTCATTCCAGCAGGGCCCAACATGGGACACCAAGAAATTAATAGCTTTTGTTCTAAGAACACGTGGTATGAATAATGAGAGAAATCAACAAGAAAACTAGTGTCACACATCTCCCAGGGACATACAAGGGGTTTGCCAAAGCCAGGACTTAGCTGGCCAAAAATTAAAGGAAACAACTGTGTTGAAAAAAGGTACAGAAGAATCAGAGAGGAAAAGGGATTTCCTGGGTTTTTGGCCATGTTGTGACGGCATTTTATTCTGCTGTTGCCAGGTCTGTAGTTAGACGTAGACAGTGTTGGTGAATGCTCACGGGTGGATAGGAGATGTAAAGAGGGCCCCATTCAAATACCTTCCTGGTCAGCCAATTTCTCTGATGTCTGAAGTGCCATGTTTAGAAATACGATATGCCTTTATAGGGAATTAGTAGTGTATAAAGAATACAAATATTTCTTGGGAAGGTAGTTTACCATTTTTTCTTCCTTTACAGCCTAATTTTAGGCTAACGTGATTGCCAGCTAAGGGCATGTTTTGAATATAAAGAGCTAAATAAAGCAAAGCAATTCCGAACATTGCCTGAAAGTCTAGGATTTGGAGGTAAAATAATAAATGAATAAGTAAATAGTCCTTGTCAGCCTAGGAACCACCGAGAACATAGGATATTACGAAGGAAGGTGAGGATTAGCAACGGTGTCCTGAAGGAGAGGAGGACATTGAGAGAGAAGAGAGCATTAAAGAAAAACCTTATAATCTTACATTTCAAAAAAAGAAAAATTCCTTTGGTACATGCTGAAAATAACAAGATGAGAGCTCATAAAAATTTGTCATCTGAATGTTTTTTCTGTGCTAACAATCGCAATGGTTCTAAACAAAAGCTGTGATTACAAAAGAAGTGGGAAAAATGTTGGTAAAATTTAGGAATTTTAAAAACAGAATTTATCACAAAATTATACTGGATATGTTTTTTTAGTTATTCCAGAAAGAGAGTCCCTTCTTTTTATGTCCTGCTAAATGAATTTGAACAATGGTATTAAACACGTCTGTTGTACGAACAAGCTGTGCAACTTCATGTGCACAGGAATCCAAAGCACATCCTTGACTACTGGGTGTGGCAAGTGTGCCAGCCCTGGTGACTCCACTGCTGGCACTTTACACCACTCCTGAAATAATTAGCTTTGTACAAGAATCTAGTGTATGCTTCCACAACACAGAAAACTCATTTGCTTCTATTAACAGTGTGAAAGGGATGGCTTCGTAATTGTCTTTAAGTCCATCAGAAGTAAATAAATATGTTGTGCCTGTGTTAACTGAAAAGAGGAAAATGGTCTTTACAACCGTGATGGGAACTACAAGAGGTGGTTATGAAATCTGCATCCTCAGAGAGCTTTGAGAGAACAGATTAGATCAGCAGATCTCAACAGAGTGCAATGGTTTCCCCCAGGGATATGTGCAGTGTCTGAAGACATTTTTGGTTGTCACAACTGTGGAAGTGCTAGTGGAATCCAGTGGGTAGAGGCCAGAGATGCTGCTCACATCCTACAGTGCACAGGAAAGGCCGCCACAACAAAGAATTATCCAGCCTAAAATGTGTATAGTGCCAAAGTTGAGGAGCCCAGGAAGTTCTGAACAGCCTTAGGACTCCAAGAAATCTCATCTGATGATAATCAGTTCAAAGGATGTCTCAAAGATGAATGAATTCTTTCATGCCACTAGACTGTTTCAAAATATTACAAGTAGGTCATTGATTCAGTGTGTTAAATAGCTGAATCAAGTTAATCCCAAGTGAAGTTTTAAAATGGGGGATATCTTAATCATTGGGGAACGCTGGTGTAGAAATGTACTTTCTTTGAAACAGAATGCCTAAATTTTAGAAAGAACTTTCCTGAATTGTTATCCGAAGAGAAAAAAAAGGAAAAAAATTTATTTCATTCTTTACGCTGAATTCCCATAGAGACCAAAAGAAGAGATCTATATTAACACGTGGCTCAAATAAATAACTGTTGGCAATTTTTTTGCCACAAATATTTTTCAAATAACTTAGCTTCCTGTGTGTGTTATTTGTGCTTTTCTAAAATTTCAGTGTCATAACCTATTACATTTTTTTACTACGCAAAATAATGGAAAATTTCTATTCATTGATTTTGTTTTAATTAGGTGTATTTGAATATCAAATTCCAAGGAGTATTTGCAATACAACCTTTGCCTTCCAGAAACTCTGTTTATGAATCAGAACGACTTGAGAGTTATCCAAGTATTGGGTTGTAATTATTTTTCTTCATTCCAATGCCAACTTAGATCTTAAAGTATTACCTAGGGTTAATGAGAAGGGATTCTGAAGACTGTCGTCTACTCATACTACTCCCTGGTAGAAGTGCACAATAAATTTGTTGACTGCCTGGTGGGAAAGGATAAGAGCAGAATACATTTCTTGAAATAGTCTCTTACTTGATTTTGTTTTATACCGGGATGAATTATACTGGGATACTGCATTACGAGGAAGGGAGGTAAATTGTTTGTTCTCTGACTTTTAGCTAAGAATGAAACCTTGGCGTTACCAGCAGAATCTAAAACACCAGAAGTAGAAAAAATCCCAGCACGGCCCATAACAGGTAACGAGATCCCTATATTGTTAACTTTGAGAGAATAAATCATATATCTTTTCAAATAGTCAATGATTGGCAAGCCTGTACTTTTTTTCAGTGAAGAACCAGCAGGAAATTCATTTTGATCATAAGCACAAAACAATAGGAAATTCTAGGTCCTTAATCTAATGTTTGGAAAAACAAGAGATGCAAAATGAACTATTGAATCATATAACTAATATGTAATCTGAAAACTGTATTTTTTACTCTAGGTGAAAGTTGTTACCTCAACATTCTGATATATTCTTGTACTAAAGTGTAATACCATGGGTTTGGGGCTTTCCTTTTATGGGAAGACATGAGACCATTTTTCATTTCTTCACTTTCACAAGTGGTCAGTTTAGCAAAATGCCATCATCTCTCACAAAGCCATAGCTTAATATCTATGAAAGTACCTGGAATTGTTTAGTGACAATATCTCTGGAAGATTAACAATCCTAGTGTAGAGAATACATGATAACTCAGTAAAAGTCCTTTAAAGAATAAATGCGGTATGCATTTTCCCTGCAGTTCATCAGCTGTTACTAAGAAACGTTCAGCATTTCTTCTATGAATGAACTGCCCAAGTCCAGCCCACTGGGGACACATTATTCTCTGAACTACAGAGTTCTTGCCAGAGCAATACCACCTCATCCAGGATGCGTTGAAACAAACATCTGGCAAGAATTCCCCCAAATCCACATTTAGCAAATAACTCCAATCTCAAGTGAATGTTTTAATCCATAAAACTGTCACAAATTGAAATATTCAATCCATAAAATTGCCCAAAATTGAAATATTTACCTTGTCCTGAACTCTTGGACTCATCACTGGTCCAGAGAAGACAAAGATTGGTGGGGAAATGAAATAACTTGATTTTAAGAAACCTGGTCAAGTAGGAATATTTCTGACAGAGTAGGAAGTGTATGGTCCCACCTAAAGGAGAGAGATGGACCTTCCCTTTCCCACTTTCATAAGAGTTAAGGTGGACGTAGAAGCTATTCAAGATGCTGGAATAATCAATTTGAATGAAATTCCTCATTGGTTTTCTGACTTCAGTGTAATTGGCCAACACCTAGAAAAGTGTAGGCATGACCAGTGGATGACCCTGCGTTCTTTTCTGCCCCAGAGATTCTACCCATTTTTCCCAATTGTACTTTCTTCTCTTGGCACAGTGTCTAATGGGAGAGTCTACAGATTTCTTAGTTCTCTGCCAAACCTTCCTCAGAACTTTCCACTTCAGAAACACTTAGGCAAACACCATAACTTGTTATTCTGTGTTATTGTGTTTATTTCATGTCCTTACCCTGTAAAATTCTGGAATTGTCTAGCTCACCATTCATTCCAGATCTCAATGAAAACTATTTTCACTGAGAAAACAATTTACTTGAAAACTTATTTCTTATTTCTCGAAAACTGTTTACCTGAGTCGTCTTTGCCTTTGATCTAGCACTTGGAACAACCTTGTGGCTGAGGATTTGAATCCTTATCATCTCAACCCAATTCCAAGCTTTGCATGTGACTGCAGTTTGGAAGAGAGAACTGTCATAATGTAATAGTTCTAAATAAACCTTTTGCCCTGGGTCATTCTTTTATTTGCCCATTTATTAATTCAGTTAATAAACATTTATCATGTGCTTGCTTACTGTACCCCAGACATTGTGCTAAGCCCTGGAGATAAAGAGAAAGAAAAAGGCAGACAAACAAAAAATTATGATTCATCTGATAAGTGCTTTCATGGAGGTCAGTTCAATGTGTTCTTTGGAACCAGAAAGTGGACCTACCCAGAAAGGAAGGATTGGGAGGGGTGTCAGCGCAGGCACCTCGGGCAACCTCAGGAGTCCTTAACGGAATTAACTGGAAAAGAGTTGGTCAATATAAGTGTCAGTGACTAATTCTAAAGGGCAATAAAAGTGCCTTATGGTCTTTAGTTGCTTCATCATTTTATTGTAATTTCTAAAGTTGTCTTTTTTACCTTCCAGTGACTCCTGAATCGGTTCCAAGAACCACTAAACCCACCGTGCCTAGTGCATTAGACATTTCAGAAACAACACTGGGTAATTCTGAGAAGTTTTTTTTTCTTAAAAAATAACTCGCAACACTCATAGAAAAGAAAAGTAACCCCAATGCCTTAGCTTCCCCACCCATCTCTCCCCCACTTCTTGGCAGTAGTTAATCTTCCTATTTCTTGGGTCAATTCGATTAAAGAGTTAACAACAAGCCTTGATCCTGGTGGCTGATATTCTAGGCAGCTCTGGGTGTGAGATGCTAACTGCACACCCTTTTTACCAGTCTCTTGGGCTGTATAGAAAAACCAAATGCCAGCCTTTTACCCCACAAAGCTTGGAGGGGTGGAATTCTTGACTATGTCTGTGCTTTCTGTTTTGATTGGCTTTTCCAAGTCTTGTGTGTACTAATCTTGAGGAGAATGCCCCAAAGTGTTATGCTTTTTAATAAAAATTGCACCTCACACAAGTTAGCTACCTCTTGGCCCAAGAGATTCTAACTTGCTTTGTTCTCTTCTCCTGAAGAAAAGAGCCAGCATGTATTTTGTCTGTACTTGTGATATTGATCTTCATGCCACACCACTGCCCTTTGAAAGCATAACCTTCAAATTTTAACAGCTATGTAAAACTTTTCCAGGGATAACCAGCTATTTCCATGAAAGGCATCAACTGCCGGGTGCACACTCGCTTATAAGCATGGTTCACAGGATCATGGTTAACCCACAACGTCAAATCCCCACTCGTGGAGGTGCTAACCGAATTCTTCTTTATTGTAGTTCTCAGTGAAAGGACCCCGGAAGCGTCGCAAACTATTCTAATACCTAGGTTTGAATTGCCACTGAGCACTCTAGGTAAAAATTATTAACCACTGCAGCCTATTCTTACCTTGGAAATTTTATGCATGCCTGAAAGCAGTCCTTAGGCTAATTCATTCAAATTCATCTCCTCACAGGAAAGAAGGGACATGGTTTATAGAACAATAAGCTCCCCAAAAGCAAGCCCTTAAATGTTATAAAAATCTTTATTTTATAATTTAGGATCCTAAAGTGTCTCTCTCTCTGACAAATCCTTTGGTTGTTTTTCTTTTTGGTGGTCATGATTTGATTCTTTTAGTTCAAAATCATTGTGTCACTGAATAAATTATTTTCTATATTTCTCCTAAGTATCTTTTTACTCAATTGTTTCTCTTGACAGAGAAGATAAATTTATATCTCTGCAGACTGCTTCTTAGAATACTTGGAATTTCTTTAAGTGTGATATCAAAAAAGTTATTGAGAGGGAGCTTACATATAAATCCATGTAGTTACCAAAATTCTATTTTTGAAAGCTATTGGGTGGACCTTTCCTAGTTCAGATGTGTTTCGTGCTTGGTTTGAGTTTAAATGAAATACTTCTAAGAGCACACATACACATAGCTGAAGAAATTAGGAAACTAGTTTAATAAGTGTGAGAAGAAGATCCCAAATTCCTCAAATTTAGGGCCTTGATTATACAAAATAGAAACAGAAGCTTTATTATATTATCCAGTATTGAAACACAACGGTAAGAAATACAACTAAGGTCCCTATTTGACATGAGTCATTTTCCTATTCGTGTTTGTTTTTTGCTTTTGCAAGCTTGAGATTTTTAAAATCTCTTCTCTGTTACTTACAGCTCAAGTCATAACATTTCTTATGTGTTTCATTACAGCTCTGAAAAGCATTCCAGAACTTCCTCAGGCAAAAACATCCTTCCCTTTTGAGAAACCTGGGGGCACCTTGGGTAAAAACAGCACCTTAAATCTGCTGTGAAGATGTGGGTGGTGATTGCTTAATTCTGTAGGACACATCACTGGTCCTATCTCTGCAAACCTCAATGAACTGATTAATTCAGTTAACTCAGCCGAACAGACAAGTGGTTGATTTGTTTAAAAACAAACAAACAAACAAAACCTATTTGTCTGATTGTATTTTCCACAAATTTAGTAACAATCATCAGTCTGTTAATTCCATATAGCCCATTTAGTTAGTTTTCTGTCCTCAAAAATGTTGAGAGTATGACACCAGACTCTGGTCTCTCTCTAGTCACTAATCAAATACTTTCGGGGTGGGTACATATTGATTTCCCCTTCACACATGATGACTTTTTGTTGGATCTGTATGTGCTTTTTATTGCAGGGTTCTGGTAGCCACTTAGCCATACCAGCAACCTATTTCTCTCTCTTTGTCCTCCCCAAAAAATCTTCAGCAAATTCCATTTCTTTTTGCTGTAGCTTCAAGTGAAAAGCCGTGGATTGTACCTACAACTAAAACATCTGGAGATTCCAAAGTTCTACCACCTCAAACTGGTAATTGCATTCTTTTTAAAAAATAGATTGGAACAACAGTATTGAATAACTTGTTTTTATTTTTATAGGATCCTTAGTTGAATATCAGTATACTTTGTATCAAACGGTAAAGCTGTATTCCGTTCTAGATGCTTAGATGAATTTCATTTTTTTCTGAACAAGAAAGTAAAATGGTTTTGCATTTGTTTTAAAGATCTGTGTTTTAGTGTCTGGATTTATAATCAGAAGTCTGGCTAGAAGATGAGCTATGAATCGGCTCATTGATTTTCTAGAGCTCTCTTTAGTGACATGAGAACACTAACAAAAACAAGAAGCATCATATCATGAGTCTGATTTAACAATATGAATTTAATATTTCCCTTGCAGGTAGATATTTTCTTCTTTTTCAGCAAAATATTCAACGAACATTTGAGAGCTTGCTATGTGCCAGATAGTATTACTAAGTCCTACAATCTGTAAGCATATTATGATACAGAGGAAAGACTTCAGGTCTTCACATTAATAATTGGCCTTGGTTCCAGTCCTGGCTTTCCCACTAACTGTATATGTGAGCTATTTTCTCTACTTTTCTCTTTTGTAAACTGTGGCGATTGGCTGTTTTCTCCCGAGAATTCTTGTGTTCCACCACTAAAACTGATTGAGGGAGATAGCTTTCTTTTTAAAAAGCAGATTTTTCTCAGTTAAAAAGTTTTATGCTGGGGCTGGCCCGGTTGCGCAAGCAGTTAAGTGTGCATGCTCCACTGCAGCGGCCTGGGGTTCGCCAGTTCAGATCCCAGGCATGCACGGACGCACCGCTTGTCAGGCCATCCTGTAGTGGCATCCCATATAAAGTGGAGGAAGATGGGCATGGATGTTAGCCCAGGGCCAGTCTTCCTCAGCAAAAAGAGGAGGATTGGCAGATGTCAGCTCAGGGCCGATCATCCTCACAAAAAAAAAAAATTTTCTGCTATACATCTTTTCTTTGATGTCTAGCAGTCAACTAAAGAGAACATTCAGCAAATGAGAATTACAAGGAAACCTCAGAAAACACTGTGATTACTTCCATGAATTTTGTTTTACTTGTTTGTTTTTTAATTTTTGTGAACCTTCTAGTTGTAATTTTTTTCATACATATAGTATAATAATATAGTATATAATATAGTACATACTATAGTATATTAAAGTACGTAATGTAGTTAGAAGTTCATGTAATGAGGTTAAATACACCGACATTTTGTGGTATTCTCCAGAAAAGTCCAGCAGAGGGCTGGTTTGAGAAAGGATAAGAATGAGCCTTCAAACACATAGATCTTAGTCAAATTATCCTTTCTCTGCTAAGTGTAATGGGCTCAGATCTCAGCAAAAGAGAAAAGGATGACATCACATGAAGTAAGCATGTCTGTTATAGTCTCCCTCAGTTTTCTCAAGTGGGAAAACACTTGGAAGTTGGCTATGGTTGTCAGCCAATCCAGAGAAGCCTCAGATTGGGTCTTTGTAAGCCTTGGTTCCGCTAGTCACTGACCCTGAAACTCTGGTGCAATTACTTAATGTGGGTGCAAAGACACCTTTAGAAATCCAGGCCACCTGAGTCTAAACTCTGGGTTCGGAGTGGAGTTTCATAGTGAGGCTCTAGTTCCATCAGCTGTCAGGCAGGCATGGCTGCATTGTGACTGTGGAGCAACAACTCGTCTGCGGGCATGTGCAATGGTTTACTGCTGCACTATGCAGGCCCGGCCTGACTCCCACATCCTTCACAAGCATCGTGTCTCCCAAACCAAACACTTTGGGAGCCCACTGGACTAGCTGACCTCTTAGGTTCCTTTCATCTCTTAGCTCTTGGGTTATAACATAGGGGACATTGAGTCCCCCGAGGTTTCCCTTCAGCAGCCTCTAGGTTGCTCTATGATTATTCAAGAGCAAACTGACCAAAATCTCAAGGAAACCATTTATGAAATTTTAATGCCTAGGACATGAATTATATATAAAGCCTGAACCGAACCAAACGTTGGGGATTGGCAAGAATATGCTGGGAGGTGAAGGTCGTAAAGTTACAAAGAGACAAATATAGTTAAGATTGGAAATCCCATAAAGGAAAGCTCCCTCTTGTCTTTAATTCCAGAAAAGGAGTATTCTGGTCTTGCCCTGATGGAGTATGAACAGTGGCTAACGCAGCAGGAAGCGGTTTCATTATGCAGCTGTCTCACTGCTGCCAGGGCAACCTTGGGCTGCCAGAGACTTCCAAAAATGGCTGCCTGCCAACCCTCTCTGACTGCAGTGTTGGGGCTTGACATGGTTCTAACAGTTCAGCTGGTGATGACTGCAGGCATGCGCGTTACCCCAGAAACTTCCTAGCCTGCCCTTACCGCATTGAATTCTTCCCTCTGCTACGTAGTATGATCCTTGGACCAGCAGCATCGGCATCACTGGGGAGCTTGTTAACAGGCAGGATCTCGGGCTCTACTCCAGATCTATTGAATCAGGATCTGCTATTTAACAAGCTCTCCAGGTGGTTTGTATGAACATTCAAGTTCGAGAAGCACTACCTGATCACTGTAGTCTGTAATATTTCACATGGTGCAGATAAGAACCATCAAATGATTATAGGACAGTTACAGGACAGGAGGCCTCAAATCAATGTAAGATTGGTTTCTCAAAGTGGGTGATTAAGAATCTCTCCTTTCTGCTAAGGAGCACAATGCTTCCGCCTAACTCTTGTATAAGTGTTCTGTGTCATCTTCCTAACATGTTAAATTTCAAATTAAATCTATCATATGCATTATTGGTGATTTAAAGAGTTAATACATTCATGCCATCCTTTCATTCATTTCAGCCTTTCTTGTTTCTTATAATTGATTTTGTGTGATTATACATGTGCTAAGTTTATATTTCCTATTTAGTTTCAAGGTAGATGATTATTGATATTATTTTCCAGTTACTCACATGGCTTCCTAATGCAATTGTTTTGAGAATTAAGAAGAGAGAGGTAGAGATGGTACTTGAATGCTGGTCCATAAAACCAAGGGTCCCATTTTTAGTTGTGATAGCCTTTGAAGAAATGATATATTTTATAGCAAAATGAACACATTTTGTTTCCTCTGTTGGGATACAGTGCATCTATATTTACTATGTCAATTTCCTTCAGCCAAAACCACCAGGAACACACCTGTATTTAAACAAAGTTAGGTTTATTCACTCATTGCAGCAATGGAGAATGCAGACCATGAGGAACTGTGGGATCTCTTAGTAAGAGGGTATTGGAAAGGACTTTTTGTAGGATTTGGTCTTATATTAGATGATTCTAGGGAGACTTCAAAGAAATGAAGCTTTGCTCTGGATGAGATGCTGTCAGAAAGTGGGAGTAATTCTGTGGTTGAATATCTTAATAATTCTTAACTAGAAGGCAAGAAGAACGGAGTGATGGTAAAGCTGTGATTGGTAAAGAAGCAGCAATTACTCATATCAGCCAGAATGTGAGGATAGTAATTTTTGTGTTCATGCATTTGTGTGTTCTGCATGATTACAGAGTGGTCTTGTTTTTGTCTCGATCCATCTTGGTCACTGAGTGGTCTTGTTTGATATTGGTGTTCTTGCAAACTGTGGATGTTCAGCAGGAGAACACCATAGCCTAGCTGTTGGAGCCGGGCCAGCTCCTGGATGCCAGGGGCTGCTTTTCTCATTATCGACGATTAAACATGATTTATCGATACCTTTTGTAAAATTCATTTTGCGTCGGCATTTACTGGATTTTTTTTCCACATTTACTTTGTATTCTGTATCAAATCATCAGAATGCATGCTCTCAAAAGGATTTTTGTATTACTTTTGGATATAAAAAGCTATATGGAAATTCTAATGTGCATGCTGAATATTGAAATCCCTGGGTCATTTCAATAGTTTATGACAAGAGTGGGACAGGGTATTTGGAATTTGGAATATTCCAGGAAATCTGAGAAGTGTAGTCATCAAACATTCCTCCCCACTGTCAGCCTATTTGCCATAATCTTTCGTTATTTGGCATTGTATTTTGTATTAAATCTTCTCTAGAATGTGTTTATGTAGGATTGATTGATTTTGATTCTCTTGGCAAATCCAATTTTCTTTAAAGTATAGAAAGGAAATTATAAAAATCTGCTCTATAATTATATGCCAGAAGGTAAACTTATTTATAAATTCTGTATTAAAAGGAAGTTGGCCACATTTTAGAAATACTTAGGTGCTTGTGACAGTCATTCAGAAAAGTCAATCTTTCTGATGATGCAATAGAATTGGTCTTACGTTCTATTGGAAGGTGGCCAGTTGACTATGATTTCTGTGTTATTATAGAGTGAGTTCTAGAAAAGCTCTCAGTACCTTCCACACCCCCACTGATGAATTGTGTATTTGCATGTATATACACATACTCGTTAGATTACTTCTTCACTGAAATAATATAATTTTGTATTTGCATAGCAGTTTTCTATTAAGAGATTCAAAGGTTTGAATATATACCATCATACTGATCCTCCAGAAGTCCCTGGAAGCAAAGAGAGTTATCATTGTCTTTTATCTTAAGGAGAAATGTGAAAGACTTGTCTCTGAATGGGTAGAGGAGCAAAAACTAGATCCTCATTCATTTCTTACCTAACCTTCTCCCCAACAAACCACTCCAAGTCAAAAGGGAAACAATGTCACAGAGCTTGCTTTGAAATTTTCTCAGAACAGCTTTGCAACAGAGTAAATTAAATGTTCTTAGTAGGGCCGTGTGCTCTCTAGATTTTTAAGAAACATCAAATGGTCTGTGAGAAAGGCTGGCCAGTCCCTGAAGTTTATTTTCCTTGTGAATGTAGTCACTAATCTGTGAGCTATAGGGTGAGACAGAGCTGGGTTGATAACCAGCTCAACTGTTTACTAGTTATGTGGCTGCAGACAAGTGATTTAACCTCTTAGAATCTCTGTTTCCCCATCTATAAAATGGAAATAACATATAAATTTTTTCATTAGGTTGTTATGCCTTAGAAATAATGTGTAAGTCACTTCATCTATTTCACGGTACGTACAGAGTGCCCTGTTATCATTTCCTTCATACAGTGGACTCTTACATTGAAGGCATTCCCTTCCCACCACACTGCCCATCCCAAACTTCCTTAATTGCTACAGACACTCAATAATAATAAGAACAATAATTATTTAATTAATAAAAAGAAAGAAAAGAAGGAAGAAAGGTACTCTAAATATGTCTAAGCTTGTATATATGTGAGCACACCGAATGATTCTTCGGTCTTCATTTCACTTGTATAAAAATTTTTAAGGAGAATGGAAAGGACATGTGCAGTGCTATTCAGAGAGGCCCTGCAACCCCATGGGAACGGCCTGATGTCCTATTAACCCCATGGCAGGGATGGTAAATCGTATCACACGGCCGTACTCTTCAGTTCGAGTGGCAGCCTGAATCTGTCTGTAAACTGGGCTCTGAGGCCCTGTGTAGGCTCAGGGAATAAAATGATGCCATGACCAACTTGCTGTGTTTTCCACGGGCCTGAGAGGTGGGAGAAGCAGCATGAATGCTGTGTATTCCTCATCCCACAGATGGGGCATATGCATGATTTCTAAAGCCCTCACATGGTTGGAGCAGGAGAATGGAAATCAACTTTTTGTTTCTGGCTTGATAATGCCATCAGTGGTAAGCCTCCTTAATTTACTTGATCATCCCCTTAAAAGTCCATCATTTAGTACCAGGAGAGGTTTAAAGCCCAAATCAAATAAAGAAAATGGTGTCTTTATATAACCCAGGATGATTCAGTGTGTTTGTTTTCATCTTTAGAAAACTCTCCTGCCTGTTTTTCCCCTGACGTATCCAGACAAACTGATTTTCCCTCCAAATGGACTGTGACTTGTGACTAAGACTTCTTCTTCTGGCATAATTATTTCCCTTCAGCAATAAAGTTATCATTAAAGACTTCCCCTGATGGAAAGTCAGGACCGAATATGGCAGGCCTCGGTCCTTCATTAGAATCCACTTTGAGAGCTACCTTTAGAGTTCATCACTAGTTATTTTCAGTGTTTACTTCTTTCAGTACTTTGTAGAACTTCAGTAAATTGCAATCTGCTTTAAGCTCTATAAATTATTTAAAGACCTGAGAGCTGCAGTGATCAGCATGCACGAAGAGTGGTGTACAAACTGGTTAGGAAGTTTTGACCACAGGTCGTTTGCTCGGAGTGGTTGAAAAGAGGTTGAGCTCACTTTTAGACCTTACTGCCTGCCTGTGGGGTGCTGATTAGCATGGATCTGGCCCACCCAATGAATTAAGCCCCAGAGAGGAGAAAAAGTAGGAATGAGTGGTGGTGGTGGTGCTGTATAGTAATAGAATTCAGTGTAGCTGATGGTTTACAGGTTTACTCTGGTCTCCTGACGATTTATAGCCTCGGCCTTTGGTTTTGCTTCATGAACATTTTCTTGCCAGCAATATTTTTACAGATTTCAAGGCCAACCAGAAAGGTGTTTTATTTTTCCACAAACTGAAGAAAGCATTGTTTATTTATGTAAATGGTACTGAGAACTCTGCGTGTGGTATTTATAAATGCTTTTCTCGTCCAGCTACTTATTGATAGACCTGTTGTGTTTTCCCATTGCTTCTTCATATGTGTTTTTGGGATTCTATTTCCATGGCAGGGTATGGCCACATAAGCATATATCAGATAATTTTGTGGTAGAGGGATGAATTTGTATGCACAGGTATGTGTATCATAGAATAATTAAAGGACCTGTTCATTTATTCTCATTTATCCTTACTAAGAGCGGTAAATTACCCAACTGTCAAACTCGTTATTTGTTCATGGTAATGGACATCTTGCACAGTAATTGTACTGAGTCTACACCACGTACCAGGCTCTGGGGTAAACAAACCTTGTAGTACATAATGAACAGGACAGACACAATTTTTGTCCTAATGAGGTCTTTTGTCTAAGAATTTATGTTTACAAAGGAAAGTCTTTCACAGAGTTATTAATATTTATGGAATTTGAATAAAATAAAATGATAAATTATTGATAATTGGAAATGCCTTAGCTGTGTGCCATCATATGTTTCCAGAGCAATATCAGAGCATTTTTATTATGGAATTTGCATCTAATCAGTTTTTAAAAAATAAAAATAAAATGTACAACCAACAAAACATAATTTAATGATGTGATTGTAGGAAATTATGAGCAAATGGTAGTGCAGCTTATTTCATATTATTAATATTTTTCTCTGAAAAATAGGAAAGTAAAATTCAGTTATCATGATTATAAGTCATTACTGTTTTTTGAAAGAAATTAATATAGCTTTTTATAACCCTTGAATTGAACCACCTATTTTACTCGTTGCATCAGATTTCGCCTACAACTTTTGGTCCCATTTATGTTCTGTGAATGCAAGATTAGAGACAGTGCTTAATGTTGAACAGCTGGGGCGTTTCATCCAGTGAAGTAAACATTGGTGATAAAAGATGCCTGCCTGCACCCAACAATGCATGGTAGCGTGCAGAGTGTCTAAGAAACAGAAGGGTTCAGCCCTAACCCTTATAGCTATGTATCAGCTTTATAGCTGAGTAGACCTTTAAAAACCAAGGATGCCTAACCTTTTCATGCATTTACTCTGGTATAGAAGTACATATACAAGATTTTGTTAAAAAATCAAGAGCTGTTGATTTTTAGAGAGCTCCATTTTTGCTCAAAAAGTCTTGTGTAACCCATAAATGCAGTGAGGTGGTAGTGTGCTTCTCACAGCTGTCCCAACAACATAAATCTTCCAGGGGGTGTTTTTAGCACTCTTGTTCTTTACTCCTCAACTCTCAGAAACTCCAGAAATAGAAATATCAGGGACCAAGTCTGCTGGCCAATGTGTTATTTTGATCTTAAGTATATTTGAGAAAATATGTGGAAGTTAGAGGTCTCTGACAATTGGGAACTTCCAGACATAAGCCACAATTGCCAGAGGATGAGGGAAGGAGGGTTTCTGTCCCCAGTATAGTGCCTTCTGGGAATAACTTGAGGGAACATGGCAGCCTGGCTTGGAAACTCCAGAATGGAAGGGAATTACAAATATGGAAAAGAAGCAGGGAGAGGGTTAATAAATATCATCTCTTGGGACAAAAAGTACTAAATATAAGAAAGTTGGTCCAGTGTCACTAGACGGAAGGAAAATGTGGGAGTTAGGATGACTTAAAGACAGCCGTGGAACAACATAAGTAAGTCAAGCTATTAATTCATAATTTCTTACCTAGTATGAGAGGGTTGAATACAAGTTGGTCAAGTTTCCCTAATTTATTTCGTAGGAGATACAGCTGACTTTGCTGGATGCGTGACTTGAAGCTGGCTTAAAGCCAACCTGGGATCAACAACCGCCAGCATCTTTGTCCTTTAAGAGATTAGTCATTCTTATCTGACCCTTTAAAATTGTAGCTAGGCTAAAGAAAAGTTTACATTACAAAGTAATGGATTTGCTCTCAGAATGTTTGCATATTTTAACTCTATTAATTCTTTCTGTTTTTGAAGATTTTACAAAGCAGTAGATTCACCTTCACAAATTGGAATGTATTTCCTGCCTCTTCAGAATGTGGTACAATATAAACTGCCCTCTCTGAGTGTCAGAGTGTATCATGGGTCTGATGTTACCTTTCTCACAGCTTCAACTAGCAATGGTTGAAAATCATTACATTGTCGCTGAATTACAAGTAATCCCAATGAGTCAATTTCCCTGTGAGCTCCCGCCTTTCTGGTTTATTTGAACCAGCAAAAAAAGTAACATCTACCTCATAACAGTTCATGCTTTCTCTAAACCTCTCATTACCACAGTGACAGCTCTTTGTGCAGAAAGGAGAGCGTTTTTATTTTGATGCTGTTTTTGCTTGCAGATTCAACTTTATGTGAACGTGAAAACTACCCGTGTTAAAACTAATCTTTATTTATTTTTTTTTCCTAATTTAAGAGTTTATTTTTTTTATTTTTTTTATTTTTTTTAATTTTTTGTTTATTGCAGTAACATTGGTTTATAACATTGTAAAAATTTCAGGTGTACATCATTGTACTTCTATTTCTGCATGGATTACATCATGTTCACCACCAAAATACTAATTACAACCCATCACCACACACATGTACCGAATTATCCCTTTCACCCTCCTCCCTCCCCCTTCCCCTCTGGTAACTTTATTTTTAAAGTCACCCTGCTTTCTTTATTTCATGTGGAACATAAAAGTTATCTTTAAATCCACCTAGATTATAGAAGGGCTCATGGCTCCACGGAGGAACATAGAAGGAAAGCTGTCTCTAGGAAGAATGGCAGGAGGGATGGTGCAAGATGAGAGGATGGGTCTGAGCTCTGGCGTTCCTGGCCCTGCTAATGGCGTGGAAACTATGCTGAACTTGACAATTCCAGTGTGTGACCACTGGCAAATATCTTCACCGCTACGAATCTCAACTTCGTTATCTAGAGAATGGAGATAGTACCCCATTATTTATAAAATAGGGATAATGTCTACCTCACCTATTTCTCAGGGATGTAAGAGGGTTAAATAAGCTGATGTATGAGCAAGTGCTGTGCAAACTGTCAAGTGCTGTCCAAACCTACGCTATCATGATGGTAACTTTTACTAAGTAGAAAGACTAGGCAGTAGACTTTGTGCAAATAGCCTCCATGCGGCTGCTGTTTCCTTCTTTGGAAATCTCTCCCCAAATTGCCATCTGACTTCATTTATGTTTACACTCTTTGAAGCTCTTTGATTTAGAGCTGGCACCACTTCATATGCTCACACCACCCCCGAGGCCAGTGTCAGGGCTTGTCGTGTAAAGGCCCGCAGTTCAGGGCAGGAACGACTGGAGGCAAGTCTTAGAGATTGCTTACGCACTAGTGACAAGGCCAATAGCCCACAGCCAGAACTCTGCAGCACCTACATAAGACTGTCCTCCTTCAGCCAGCATGAAAGTATGTCATGAAATCTTTTAAAATTAATCAAAATTAACATCTTCTCCTTTGTTCTACTTTTTCTTTTAAAAGCAACTTATGATGTTTTCTCAAGGCCTGCAACATCAGATGAGCCTGAACTCTCAGAGCCCCACACAGGTATACCCAGCCTCTCAATTCTTGCTTTGGATGCCAGGTGTTCTGACAACACTGCACTGAGTTCTCCCTGTAACTTTTGCAGAGTGAAAAAGTGCGCTCCCTAGAGCTGGGCAGAGAGAAATGGCAGTCTGTGTCAGGAACATGAACTCCACCCCTCCTCCTACTGAGCAATTCTTTCTTTACATCCATCAGGAAATAAGCTCAGACACATGTGGGACATGCAGACAGATTTGGTCGCCACTGACGCAAAGTGATGGAATGGCCTATTGCTCTCTTGTTCAGAATCACTCTTAAAAGGTGTTAGATTCTTAGAGAACTTTCCCTAGAGCAGTGGTTCTCAAATGGGGGTGATTTTGCTCTCTTCTCCCCCCAGAGGCCTTTGGCAATGACTAGAAACATTTTTGGTTGTCACAACTGGAGAATGTGTTGCTGACATCTAGTGGGTAGAGGCTAGGGATGCTGCTAAATGCCTACGATGTACAGGACAGCACCCACAACAAAGAATGATCCAGCCCTGAATGGCAGTAGTGCTGAGGTGAGAAATCCTGCTCTAGGGCTCACATCATTCCTTGATCTATAGAAGTGCAGTTAAGTCTGATCTTTGGCATTTACTTACTGGTCCATCTACAGTGAGTTTAATTCAATCCAACAGTTCCTTTTAGCAAGTGTGTATTAAGCACCTGTTAAACTAGGTGCTACGGGAGGTTCAAAGTGAATAAGACAGGTCTCTGCCAGACACAGATAGATGTCTGATATTTTGTGTAAGACAGGTCTCTGCCAGACACAGATAGATGTCTGATATTTTGTGTAAGACAGGTCTCTGCCAGACACAGATAGATGTCTGATATTTTGTGTATGTGTTACCTTATCCCAGAAGTATTTGTGCCATGGTAAATAAAGGCAAATAATTTTGAAGAGCAGCAGAAAATGAGAAAAAAAAATGAAATAGAATGCTAAGAGTGGGTTCAATTCATAGTTAAGAAACAGAGAGAAGAAACCAGAAAAACCAGTTGAAAACCAGTTGAACATATGAAACATTGTTTTATCATGGTTTCTAATGTTTAAAGTGTTTGTTTTTAGAAGTGGGCTCATCTTCATCTCCTAATGAGTCACTAGTTTATAAATGTTGGTCAGCAATCTCTCAAGTGTTCTTGATATTTTTCCCCTATGAGGCATAATTTATTACTCTTGAGTTTGTGTTTTATTCCTGGGGCCTTCTACTGCTTTTATAAATGTTGACGTTTATTCCAACAGCAACAAGTGATCCATTTCTGGATTCTGTCCCACCTAAAACTTCTAGAACTCTTGAACAGCCAAGGGCAACTCTCGGTAATGTTTTTAACAGAAAAATCATACTTTGTTTTCCATCAAAAGAAAATCCATTTGAATGCCTTTCTTCCAAATGACCATTTCATTCCATCACATCTAATCATTTCTTTCTTTCCTATTTCTGAATATATATTTATATATTTTTTCCCCAAATGCAGGCATCTTATGTTCCATTTTGGGCTCGCTCTCTCTCTCTTTTTTTTTTTTTTTTTTACTGTAATAGTTGATATTTTCTTCATCCTTAAAGGAATGAAAAGCTTTGAAAAGTGCATGGACATCTCCATCATCCATATCATCCCATCCCCTGTGTGTGTGGCCTGTATCACCTCCTTTCCATGCATTGAGTCTGCCTGGAGTGAGCTACTGAATAATTATCATTCTGGTCTTTTTCCCGCTTTAAATCATCATTTCATCCACCAGCTTTCAAGACTCCATGCATTTCTCATTCTTAATCATGTACTTGTAGCATGTGCTTTGCAACACCCTCTAAAAGCATGTTAAACCTCTTAAAATACCTCATTTTAACTGGAATTACTTGGTGGGATGGGGTGTTTGTGTTTTCAGCTCCAAGTGAAACATCATTTGTGCCGCAAAAACTGGAAATCTTTACCAGTCCTGAAATGCAACCTACAACACCCGGTAACTAATGACATTTGTAAAGTTGTGTGCTTTGGAAGAACAGATAAAGTGACAAAGGAGCATCAGTCATATTGGCCTTTTCAGATATTTTGAGCAGTAAACATTTCTGTTTATTCTCTACCATGAAATTCTTCTAAGAACTAGGTTAATGATCATATTTAGCCTTGTGATAATCCTCAAAGAATTTCAAAAATCTTGATGTCTTTATATTTTGAAGAATTATTTCCTTTCTATACTCCTTTCAAATTTGCCAATGGGAAAATAGCAGCAAAATTATAGATGATAATTATTTTAAAATATATTCCCTTCTATTTAACACATTAAGACACCACTTGGTTAGAGTATTTTTCTCAAAGTAGTCTAAGTATAAAGAGCACCAAGGGCTCTGCGATCTGGACATGATGGAGAAAGATGGTAAAAGGGAAGGAACAGAACCTACAGTTTATAATAGGAAATTACCGGAACAATAAAGTTCACCTAACGCCCGGTGAGGTTAGTAATGCGCCAAGAATTAAAGTTATGAACTTTCCATTCTGTAAATCCCAAATGTTTTATTTGTGCTTCTGCCCTGCTGTTTGGTAAATCATCTTTTGAGTTCTTCACTGTACCTCTTGTTCTTAAATCCCTCAAGAGGGCTCGCTTTCCTGTACATTTAACTGAACAATGTACTTTCAATTTTTATATAGGAATTTCATTCCTTTTGGCCCAATCAACACTTATTTATAGAGAACCTACTGTGTATAAAGCATGGTGCTACACATTCTAGGGATACAAAGAAATAAAGAGTGGCTCTTGTACTCAGGAAATTCACAAATTTACAGTTAGAACCTGGTCGACCCCTGAGAAATATCATTTATCGAAGCTATACTTCATCTTCTTTCAGCTCTGCTGCAAACTACATCTATCCCTTCTGCACCCAAACGACGCCTCAGACCCAAAATACCCAGAACCAAACCTGGTAAATAACTGTCTCTTGATCCTTTCAGATATTTCTTTCCAAATAGGTAACGTCCATCTCCTTATCATAAAAAGAAGTGATATGATTCTACAGGCTAAAGTTTCTTTACAAAATTTGAAATTAAGTGAAGATAAATAATGCAAAATAATAAAAACTAAACACTTTCAATAAGATTTTATCAAAAATTATGTAAGTGATGTTCTTGCCTGTGAGTTTTGGTATAAACCTAGAAACAAGTCCTACTGTCACAGCATTATAGAGTGAGCTATGTAGTGTGATTCATTTTCTTGGTATGCATCTAGATTTACGTGTTTATTAGGCTGACAGTTCTTGATTTGGGTGCCTACTGTGTTTTCAATTTTGCACAAGGGCAATGGCTGAGATGGAAAGGACATGACCCCAGCTTTCCAATTGCTTCTAAGCTTAAACAGATAATACATCATAACAATGAGAGAACAACATAAGACATAGATAATTATATAATCTGCTTGTGCAACTATAATACTTGTGTAGAAGCTCAGAAAACAGCAATAAGAGTTGAGAATGCAAGCCTCAAAATATGTGTAGGGTTTAGACAGAGGAAAAGGAGAGGGGAGCAACATATATTACAACACAATTTGAGTGATGGAGGTAGCTTTCAGTCTAGAGGTGGTATCCTTCATTGTCAATAACGCACTCAGAATCACACTCAACAAACTGAGTTTTCCTTATTTCATTGTAGTATAAATATAATTTTTTATAGCCTATACTAATATCACTGGGTTTAAAAATTCTTTCCCAAAACTTGTACTCACTACGTACTTTGTAAACACCGACTACTAAATATGGCAGGATTTTAAAGGTGTCATTCAGTTCCTTTGAAAGATATCTTTTTATCGTCTCTAGGATATCTTAACATTTTTTTTCCTTTCCATCACCAGAAAGAACCACAAGTCCTGGAACAATTACATCTATAATTCCTAAAAGTTCTGAACTCACACGGACAACACTGGGTAATGATATGTCCTTAGTACATGTGTTACTGCATTTCACCATTGAAATCCAGCACCCCAGCTTTATGTAATGTCTCAATCACTGTTCAGTTGGACCATTTCAACAATACTGAATATCTCATAGAATACATCAACTCTGTGGCTTTCCTGGTTTTAGATAGCTGGCCCTCTAGTTAGTGGATCTGGACTCAGCATTCAGACATCCTCCTATACCTTGGAAAGCTGTTAAACTACTGTTGCTTTCTCATCTTCTATCCAATCATTGAATTTGAAGTTGAGTCTTATACAGAGTTCTCCATTTTTCTGAATAAGGCCCTCAAGTTCACCTTCAGACTCTATTTGGAAAAATGACTTTCTATTATGGTGTTAGTCGAATTGTTTATGCTGCTGATCATAGCATTATACCTATCAGTGAATATTAATTTTAAAACTTGTCTTTTTAGGGTGCTTAAAGACTTAAATGTGGCTGAGGTGTGTAAAATAAGGGTGCAAAATGATTATACTGATTTTTTTTTTAAATCGTGGATTAAAATCACTTACTTTGTGTAGTAATTGTGACTATTTAGTGGCAATGCTATTTCTCTTGAAATGTTTTTTTCATACCAGATGAAAATTTATCACTGTATTTCCATTAAATGCTGCTCTGTGAAATATTCTTTTAATGGAATATTTCCAAAATCTTCCAAGATTATGGTTCATTCCACTGGAAGTAAAAGTTTTCCTTTTGTAGTTTTAGCTGCTGAAATGCCTAAATATTTATTTGCTGATTATTTTGTTTCTTTATTTTTCCAGCTCCCAGTAAAACACAATTTATTTCTTTGAAACCTAAAATCCCTCTCAGCCCAGAAGTGACACACACCAAACCTGGTAATTACCCTGAACTTTTTACTGATATTCCAAAAGTTGGATTGAGAAATTGTTTTATGCCACTCTTCGGAGCAAGAATTTCTGATTTGGATTTTGGTATTTGATACATTTTTCCATGAAAAGTGCAAAAAGGCAGTGAAATGATCTCATTATAATCAGCCCCTCTGATGTTATCACGGCATTGCTCTGAGCTGTGTCAGATCATTATGTTGGTGACCGTCACAGAGAAAACACAGAAATATAGTGATGTGAGTAAGTGAGGACTCCCTTGTCTAGGACTGTGGAATAGTTTCCAATACCAAAGTTGACTGGAATTCTGATCACACCGAACAACAGCCTCTCAGCTGGAAGGGGAAGAAGTGTTTCCCTGCCCTGAGAACGCTCTTGTTCCGGGCTTCTCAGTTCTCAGACTGCAAGACTAGAAAGGGTTGCATTTTCCTAACGCTCCATGACTTCTTTCTAAATTGGGGCTGATTTCTGAACACTGACTTCTGTTTACTTCTCAGGAGATGTTAATGGTGTTTTGCTGAAGGAAAAAAAAGGCTCTTTTGCAGGCAGGGATTTTGTGTATATAATTACAAATAGAGAATTTCCTGCATGAGGATATTGGGACATATAGAATAACCAAATCTTAGTTTCTTCTGTCTATTCAGAAGCTGTGCAGCAGCCTTAAATGTTGTGTGTGGGGAACTTGGTCACTACTCAACATTTTCATCTAAATTCTAAACCCTTAGCTCTGGGAAGAATATCTTTTTCACTATAATGGTCAATGCATCTTTCATTAATGTATGATTACAAAGTAGGGGTATTAAAGCAAGAGATTTGCTGCTCTAGTGGGCATGAGTTGTTTTTTGCAATGAAATGAGAAAGGAAGAAAAATGTAACTCCTCAGAAAGCGCTCTCTTGTGCCTCCCTTTAAGGAGGCAGTGAGATTTCCAGGTGTAGGTGTCAGACTGAAGGAAACAGAGGATTAGGCAAAGGGAGTGTGGCTGATGCTGTGACCATGGGCCAGGTCTCCAAGTCAGAGAAATGGAATAAAGCACTCTTAGAGAGGTTATTTGGAGAAAGAAAAGTAGCTAATAAAACTCAAGAGACCTCGCAGTTTAAATCAAAGACCTCTGATAGTTAGCTATATGAGAGAAGGGTTTAATGTACATTTATTTAAAAATCATGCTGAGAGAACTTTGGAATAAGGTAGTAACTATTATATTTATGCTGTATTTTGAATAGAGGGCTATTACCAAGCAGATTAAGAAATATTACTGTATGCTTGGGTCACCAAATTTACATAAATGTTTCTCCAATCTAATCATTTTTGTTTTTACACAATAAAATTTGAAAACATCAAAAAAGGTCTCCAAATGTTTATCACAATTTTCACATGACAAGTTACATTATTAATTTCAGTGGTTTTTAAAAACAGGTTTCTAGAGGAAATTCATTAATCCAAATAAGGGTGGGAGGGTGTGTTCTTATCATTCTAAGGTATTTGAACAAAGAGACTTCTTAATTGGACGTTCCTTTTAAAATGTGGAAAATTGCTTGGAAGCTAATGAGTTTATATTCCTTTGATTTCTACCTTCTAACCACCTAAGAATATCCATGATTTTTCCCCTAACAGCAAGTATAACCACTTCAGAATCTGCTCTTAAACTTAACGCCTACTCAAGTTGACCTGGTGGTCTGAGGCAACACAGTCATGACTGGATCTCTGCAATCCATTGCTGGGGTTTTAGCTTTTTAAAACTTATTTATTTTTATTTTAGGGCAGACCACCATTATAGTTCTGCTGTAGGTTTCTTTTTCCAGCCAAGGTTCAGGAGAGCAAATAAACCGCCAAAAGCTTCTTAATTTGAGTGACTCATTGCCTTTCCCAGCCCTCTCCTCACACTCTCCCATTTTCCCATTTCACTTTCCAAGCAGGCTGCTTTTCCTTTGGTTTTTCTTTGTGGTTAAACTAACAAGTAAAAACCCACATTGGTTTTGGCTTGTTTTGTAAGGAGAATCCAGTGCTTTCTTGAAAATCCCAGCCATCTACCACGTCCCAACTTGCCTGCCTCATCCTGTAAGAGTTGTTTGCTTCATACTTAATCTTTAGGATTGTGATGACATTTGGCTTCAAGCTTTTAATGGAAAAAAGGGAGAGGCCTTACAGGTGTTTGTTTCACGCAGCTCTCTGATCTGGTGGATGGGATTGTAAATTGTCCTCATTGCTAGCCACAGATCCATGAGGGCGCTGTGCTGAGGTGAGGGGCATAGTTATTTGCATGTCACTCAGCTTTTTTATGGAACAATTTTATACCTTTATCCATAACACCTTAAGACTGTCCAATAGAGGAACTCTTGTCAAAAGATGTATTTGCTTTTAATAAACGCTAACTTTAATATTTTTACATGCAGGTGAATTGGGAGCATAATTGATGGGGCTCCATACCTATCTGATTTCAGTCTCAGACAGGAATGCAGATTTTTCTTTGCAAAATTCAAAAAACAGCATTCTTTAATCTGTAAAGAATTGTTTAGTAAAGGCTAAAAGATGCTACGAGTAACAAATCTTACTTATTTTTTCACACGTTTAGAAGGCAACTTTGTAGAGATTAAAACATGAATTACAACCTCGAAGTTTCAAAAAAATTTTTATTGTTTGCTATTTTCAGATGTGGGTGCTTTTTTGATATTTGTTATACTTAATGTATTGATATTTACTATTTGCTTTTTCTCCTATAGAATCTGAGACATCCAGGCTCCTCCCTGCCTCTCTCCCTCTCTTTCTTTTTCACGGGCGCACGCACACACACACACACACGCACACTTTGACTTTGCTGTGTGTACTTCAAACTGGTACTTCTCTATGGCTTTGCCGTTCATCTTTTACGGTCTGTTTCTGGGCAAATTCTTGAGAAATCAGAATTCCTTTTGGCCACAGGTGTGCTAATGAATGATGCCACCTTTCAGGAACACCTTGTGCTATTGTGCATTGCTTTCAGAATAAGTGAAAATTCTCTATCTGCATTATTTGTTGTTATATTTTCTTTTTTAGTTGCTAAAGAGTCACTACTTGCTTCCCTAAAACTTCCACATTCCCTCATCCAGAATCTCAGAGATAACTCCTAGAAAATGTAACGTAAGAAATGTATAAGCGGCAAAATGATCTGAGTTCTGTGAAGCTGGTCTGTGGCTGCCATAGTAATTTCTTTCTGTAAGAAAAAAGTCATAGAATCTTTACTTTTTCTTCCATTTCAAAAATTGAGTTCCCTTTTTATTTTCTTCTTGAAAGAATTCTTTTTGTTCTGTAGAATCAGAAACCTATTGGATGATCTTCTTTTAAAAACCCAAACAGATATTCTAACCAAACTGTATTCAGATGCGATATAATTGACTTACTGCCAATTTGAATGACTTTGGAGTGTTTATCTGTCAGAATATTTAAATAACATTGTTACTCAATTTATTCAGTGTTCTATGAAATCTGAGACTGTTTTTTGACTTCTCTTGAATTTACTAAACAAAATGGGCTAAATTTCATATGTAAACCAATTTGTTCACCAGCAGTAGATGCTAGTAAATATGGGGAACACTGAGGCCCTTTTTAGACCATAAGTTCAATTCCTATTTTTCGTGAAAGAATATTGGATCAAGCCAGGCTGGAAATCATCCAGAACTAGCAGAGCTCGGACGTGGTCGCAGATCTGATGTGTGTGTTGCCTCTGCCTGCTTCCACGCGTGAACCTGACTGTCCTCACGAAAACAAAATGGCGGGTGACAGGACACTCCAGACACCCTCAAGGGAGGCTCCCCTGACCTCCCGCTAAAGTAGTGTCTCCTCAGGCCCTGTAAGAAGCCTTCAGAATATTGGGAATGGGGGGAAATAGCTAAAAACAATGAAAATTAGAATTCTCGATTCTTCCTTTCATTGGTGTGTGTGGGAGGATGTGGGATGATTGATCTTTACTGTCATGAGCCAACAGAACCTGACTGTTCACGTGGGAAGACACTTTTTGCAATGAAGGACATTTCACTTCTGTCGTAGATGTGCTTCTCAGCACTGCCTTTGATAATACTTGCTTTCCTTGCAGCCCCGGAACCTCAGACTCGGCCACCATCACAGTCAACAATAGGTAATGAAGTTTTCTTTACTGAGTGAAAAACAATTCTCTTCCTTTCATGCTCTCTGTGTTCAACTTTGTCCTCAGCTTTGGCTTTGTAAAAATTTATTTCTTAATGGTCCTTCAGATCTTTGTTGCAGCCGTTTTTGCCAGAAGATAATCTCTCTGCCTGTACCTGACTAAGCGGAGGCTCTGAGAAAGCCCTGAAAACCGTACTAAGCTGGTTCTTGATTGTCCCTCCTTATGTTGGAGGAATGTGTCCTGAGCTCGTTTTAACCGGTTGTCTCCAGTGGAGGACCACGGCTTCTCTAGGACATATTTGTGCTTTCACGTTTGGAGGTGTTTCTCTTACTTTCGAAACTAACATTTGCAGATTTTCTTGAAAAGCTTTGGGCTCTTTCCAGGTCTCAATATCCTGATGTGTCGCTAGGTAATTCATTAAAAGAGAGAAATAGAAAAGCTAACCCCAATCTTTATAGCATCTTGTTCTTCAAGAGAGCAAAAAAATGTGTTCTGCTGGTGCCATCTTAACCAGTGATCTGTATTTTCCTTCATAACAGGGACTGTTGGTTACTTTATTGCATTCACATCTTCCAAATGAGAATCATGCCTTTTTCTTTCCATTTCTCTTTCCAAACTTAACTGACTGGCTAAATTTTTGTTCATTTTGTCTAAAAACACAGGAATCTATTTACATAAAAAAGGAATTTCTTATGTGGATAAAAGTTTCATTGTTCATATTTGCTCAATTTAGTAATTAAAAATTAAGCCATTTCATATTTAAATAGATTCATCATTTTTCCTTTGATTTTGATTCCTTCTTGATGATTTTTCATGCAGTCTTAGAACCTGGAACCTTGGGAAAAAAACCTTCAACAACATTAGGAAATGCAG